GTACCAGGGATCGAACCCTGGTCCCCGTGCTTGCCTAAGCAGGTGTTTAGTCTGTTGACCTATCTCACCGGCCCATATTATTTTTTTTAATTAAAAGGTCTGTCTTGTTTTGTTTTTGAGACAGGATCTCACTATCTCAGGCTTGCTTCAAACTCAAGGTGATCCTCCTGCCTCGGCTCCCAAATGCTGGGGTTGCAGATGGGCACCACTAGGCCTGTATTGCCCGTGTTTGCAGTACCCAGTGATTACATTCCATGTGTGGAGTTGGTACAGCTACATAGCACATGCCTCCATCTCTTGGTCCTCTTCCCATGGACAAAACATCTCTCCCACTATTTGCTATTATCTATATTTATTGTGTTCCCTTGGAGAACAACAAACAAGCGAGTGAATGAATGGAATGGATAGATGAATGCAGGGTGGCTGTTTGAATATAAGAAATGCCTGCTGCAGTTAAAGGTAGGTAGAAAAATGAGACAATTCTTTCTGTTTTTGGTTTTGTCTTTTTTAAAAAAATGTATTTGGTACAGGGTCTCACTACACAGGTCAGACTTGTAGTGATCTTCCTGTTTCAGCCTCCCCAGTGCTGGGATTACAGGTGTGTACCACCACGCTCGATCTCGGTGACCCCCTCAGCACACCTGGTGGTGGGGCCAGTGTGCATGCAGTGCCAGGGATGAACCAACCCTGGCCCCTGTGCTTGCCAGGCAGGCATTTAGACCACTGAGCTATCTCTCCCACCCTGGTTTTGAGACAAGGTTTCACTCTGTAGTTCAGGTGCCCTTGAACTCACTGTGTAGCCCAGGCTGGCCTTGAGCTTGGTGATCCTTCTGCCTCAGCCTCCAGAATGCATACCCAACCATAATTTATATCTCATTGCTAGACTTGATGTAAATTTTTCCACTTTTCTCATGAATGTCCTTTTCCATTTCCCGGGTCCCATCCAGGATACTGCATTACACTTTTGTCACCATGTCCTCCTAGTCTTGGTCTCTGACACTCTCTTGGTCTTCCCTTGCTTTTCATATCCTTAACAGTTCTGAGAACTCCTGGTCAAGTATTTTATAGAAAAAAGTTCCTTAAGTTGGGTTAGTCTTATACCTCTCTCCTCAGACTTGGGGTTACGAGTTTCCTACTGACTGGGTAGAATTCTGAGAGAAAGACTGAGGAGCTCTTCTTTTGTGTTTATGAAATCATTTGTTTACATCAGTACAGATTCACACATACTTGATATCCCCTCCCCTTTTTTTTCATGCACCACTGTACTACAAAACCTCCCCATGTTACCAACATGGTTCATCTCACTACTTTCTTTCTCCTTTGGTGTCATCTGTATTATTTTGCAGCAGAATGCTCAACTTGGAATATAAGTTCAAACATCAGGTTGTGAAAAAAAAGAGCTGGGGCCTGGGAGATGGCTCAGTAGAATAAGTGCTTGCCTAGCAAGAGCAAGGATCTGAGTTCAATTCCCGGTTCAAAAAAAAAAAAAAAAAAAAAAAAAAAAAAAAAAAAAGAAGAAGAAGAGCTAGTGTTTTAGTACAAATGGAGACCCGATTCTTTTGCTTTAAACACAACTTGGGGGCTGGGGAGATAGCTCAGCAGTATAAGTGCCTGCCTGGCAAGCACAAAGTCCCAAGTTCGATATCTGGTACCGCATGCTGGGCCAACCCTGGAACTGGGCATGGTGGTGCACACCTATATTCCCAGTGCATGGGAGGCTGAGACAGGAGGATCACTGTAAGTCTGAGCTGCTATAGTGAGACTCTGTATCAAATAAACAAACAAATAAATAAAAGTAAACACAACTTGGGTCCCACAAGAGCTTGGACCCCGGGTCAGAGTGGAGCTGCCTCTCCTGTACACCTGTATGTTCCCAAACCCCCAGAAATCAATACAGGCTCGAACCAGGTGCAAACACCATCACAATGGGGCTCTAGTTAGAACCTTTCATAGTTCCCTGCACGCGCGCGCACACACACACATACACACACACACATACACAATCTGGCCAGGATGTTGGCAACTGGGGTTTCTCAAATATCAGTGGTCCAGAACAGCTAAATACTCTGCAGGCTTTTGATTCCTTTGTAACCATCATTTTAACAGCTGCATCTAGTTTTGGGTTTTTTTGTTTTGTTTTTATGTATTTAATGCAGGGTCTACAGAGTCTCACTACACAGATAGGACTTGCAGTGATCCTTCCTGTTTTTCAGCCTCCCAAGTGCTGGGATTATAGGCACATTTACAGTCTCAGGGCACCCCATGGGCAGAGCTGGCATGGCAGACCAGGGATTGAACCCGTCCCCTGTGTGTGCCTAAGCAGGTGCTTTAATCCGCTGAGCTATCTGACCGGCCCTTGCATCTAGTTTTGAGTGTTTTCCATTATTAAGTGTTTACTTTCACAGCACTGCAGTAAACATCTCTTAAAATAATGTCTTATGATGCCCTGGTGCTCAGCAATGGGCGTATGGGGGATGGAGGGGTAGATCGGTAGATGGATGGATGGATGGATGCTGAGTTGGCGCTATAACCAACAGTACTTTTACCTTTTCAACAATCGTCACCCTTGGCCTAGGAAGATCTAACATCTAAGGCGAGTGTTGAGAACTTGATGAAAATCAAGCTTTGCCTTCCTGTGAAGTATACCTGGTGTGCGACAGTACATGAAGGGCGTTAGCAAAGTAAAAATTCTGTACTGTGGCTATTTCCTGTGGCTTGGAAACCATTCGGTCAGCTCCATGCTCCATGGTTCTCTCCAGTTTATGCCGTAGACATGAAGACCCAAATCCCGGGGGCGCTCTCAGGCACGCAAATACTATCCTACCTCTCCAGGTGCAGTCCTGGGAAGGAAAGAGCTGAAGATCAGTCATGAGGCCAGCGCAGGCTCTCTGGAGCAGATCTCCCCTGATAGCAGCCAGGCAAAGCCCAGCAGAGGGTGCACCCATAGAGGCCGGGGGAGGCAGCGGTGGCAAGGACGTGTTCAGAGATTTGCAAAAGTAACCGAGTGGATTCAGGGGCAAGGGAGAAACCGAGAGCACAGGTAGTTACAGGGAGGTCAGGAAGATCCTGTTCTTCCTGTGCAGCATACTTCTCACCTTTGGTGTTCCCGCCACCAGGCTGGCAGGGGACCTGGAAAGAGTAACACGATTCCCTAGAGGCTATCCCTCGTCTCCAGGGAAAGCCACCTCCACATGGAATGGTGATACCCACACTGCAGGTGTGTTGCAGTCCAGATCGCACAATCAGACTACAGGTGCTAGCATCAGTCAGCTTCATATACACCTCAAATTGGTGTAAATGTCCTATTCAGCTCCCTTCCACTTTTTTTTTTTTTTTTTTTAATTTAATTGAGATAGCCTGGCTCGCCTTAAATTCACTAGGTCTTCTTGGCTGGCCTAGAACTAAGTCACAGTGACCCTCCTGCCTCAGCCTCCTGAGTGCTGGGTAACAGGTGTGCACCTCCACACCCAACTGCCTATTCAGGCTCTTTTAGAAGGAAGCAGTCAGGCCTAGTCAGCTGGTGGTGACACAGTAGGCAAGTTACTATGAGCCACTGAAGCTGGTCCCAGGTGCAGCTGCCGGGGAGCACTCAGCACCCCCAGCACTCTCCATCTCCTAGAGCAGAGTGCACTCAGCTCTGGTCCGAAGAACATCAGGCTTGCAGGAGAAAAGTGTGGGCCTCAGGCAGTGGGTATCACTAACACTAGAAAAAAGCCCTTGGATAGCCTGGGTGTTGGGGGGACCAGCTGATCAGAGCAAAAGAGCCAGCGCGAGGAGCTGGGCAGCATCTCTTACCCCCAGACTCTAAGCTGAAAGCATCAAGGGAAAAGGAAGCACTGCGGAGCCCACCTTTGCCACAGTGCCGTAGACATCAATGCCTCCTCCTCCTCCTCCTCCCATCGCTGGCTACCAACATCCGTCCACTGTAACGGCCATTACTCTGCGCAGGCTCAAAAGGTCTGCAAATCCCTGCTGCCTCGGTCCCTGCCCTTCTCAGAACGTTATTTGTCCTTAGATTCTATCATTTATCGCAGAAGTCAATCGTGTATAGCACAAGGAACTACTGTGTGACTGACCAGGTCTGACACCTGACACAGAGAGGAAGTCAAACGTGAAGAAATTTCAGACCGAGGTGACTAAGAGTTAGATCTGGAACTCTTTATGCTGGTTTTAGCCACACTGGTTGGAGATGACAGTCACTGGGGACACTGCACCGTCTGTCACTTGAGTTCTCAGACGTGCTCCTCGCAGGGACACACTGGGGACCATACCCTAACACAAAGGCAGGCACACACCAGGCAGCTTTATGTACTTAAGTTTATTAAAGATGACAATGGACCTTTAGGCTGTGTGAGAAGAGCAGCTGGTGGGATTCCAGCTCAAACACGAGCGGTGTGTCCACCACCATAATGCTTCTACTTGGACTTGCTCCTTTGTGTTAAGGCAATAAAAGCACTAGGATATTAGCAGAGAAAGTCAGTAACAGCCTCATGTGAGTGGCAATGTCTGCCCTCCACTATTCTGCAACGTCTTGACTCTCGCCTCCACCTTGGAAGCAAGTCTGCTTTCCCTCTATGTACAGAGAGGACCACCCTCCCCCACGTCCTGCAGAAGGGACTCTTGTCAGTGCAGTCAGTGTCTCCCCGTGACAGCCAGGGCTTCCCAGGTAAGCTAGGTTGCAAAGTGCTTTCAAAATATCTCTTCCTCAGCTCTCTGTACCTGACTCTCCAGTAAATAAATACAAGGGTTTTTGGCCTGTGATGACAGCTTAGTGGCAGGGTCACTACACATAGCATGTAAAGGGCTGGGCGGGGCCCAGGAAGATGGCAGAGTTTGGCTCTGGTCCCATGTGACAGGAAACAGGAGAGTTAAGGCTCCAGTGCAGTGACTTGGTGTAAACAGGTGGGTTTGAAATTTAAACCAAACCAGGAAGTAGAATTCACCACTTTTACAAACACGAGTCTGAATTGGGGGCCTAACCTTGGTGAAATGTGCAGCAAGGAGAGAGAACTTCCAGTCAGTCCTTCAAGACAGGACGAGACCTGGCTCTTGGAGCCTTACCGTGGGCTGGGACGAGATCCAGCCCAGAGTCTCCCAACCCCAGGTCTGGGCAGAGGATATAACACCCAGACCGCTATGACAGAGCTTCACTGTAGCTGTTACTTTAATGTCCCTTCCACTTTGAGACACCTGCATCCCCCAGCTCTGATACAAATCAGCTTCCACAAACCATGTGTGACTTTCTGTGACTTCCGGGGCAGTGCCCAGGCCAAAGCTTTCTACCAGTGACCAACCATTGCAAGATAAGCATCTTGTCAGTCCCAGAACACTGCCAGGTTAGGGCACGGAGCGCCACCCTCAGAGAAGCAACCCTGATCAGTGTTTCATATAACAGGAGTTACAGCAATTTCAAGGACACCGTAAACATGTACTAAGCGCCAGCCAAGTGCTTTTCCCACCAAAATTCACACTAACATGGGTGTGGGGAGCATGTTAAAATGAGTCATGGGAAAATGGTTGAATGATTGAATGTCACCGGGGTGGATAAAGAGCTAAGTGCATAATTGACGTGAAGACTCGTTATCCCAAGAATGCAGGGACATTCACATTCACATCCACAAAGTGTCAAATTTTCTAACACTACAAATAGCAGGAAGGGTTTTCTCTGACTCTGAAAAAAGAAACTAAGGCAAGAGATCAGTCACCAGAGAGGGTCCCATTTGGTGGCACAGGGACAGAGAACGGAGCTGGGCAACCACCATGACCATGAGACAGGACACAGCAGTAAGGGACACACATTAACATGGCAGAGCAAGGTTTCTGTCTTTCCATTAGGGAATCAGGGACTCGCCTCAGCTTGAAAGCCAGCACCTGCACCCAGCAGCACCTTAGTAAATTCTCCCTAACACCAGCCATGCCCCACTCACACTATGGCGCAGGCTACACCTCGGCCGGGCCTTTGGCTCAGTCCTGTGCTTTGCTTCAAGCCCACCAGGGAGGTGAGGAAAGCCAGTGTGAGCCACCATGTTTGTCTCCAACACTCTGTACAGGGACATCACAGCTCCTCTGTCTCCTCAAGGTTTCTGAGCTTGGACAATAATGACTGCTCTTACAGCCCCCAAAGTGCCTACGCAAGCCTGACAGATGCCCCCATGGAATCTTGTTCTCTGTGTTTCTCCCTATTTTAGGACCCGGATGAAGAAAACCCCACCCACTGTGACAGCAGCAAGGGAGAAGACAGCTGGTTGAGAGAGGCCCAGCTCAGAGGCTCTAAAACTAAAAACAAATAGAGACGATACTGGAAATACCACCAGACCTGGTCCTATGGAGAAGACCATGGTGACAGAATGTGGTCTCACATCCACTCCCCTGCCAGGGGCATGAGAAGCTTTACTTGAGACCATGTCAGTCCTGATGGAAGGTGCTGGTGCCTACTAGTTAGTTACCACGACAGACTGGACCCATCAGCCGAACAGAGCTTGGCTACATGTGGATGTCAGACAAGTCATTAAAAAAATAATAATTTAGAAAAAAAAAAAGCCCCAAGGGTGAAAATCCTTCGAAGGGTGGCTCAGTTCTGCATTTTGTGTGACCCGAGCTCCAAGACAGAAGCTTCGTGTGCTTCCCTCAGGTGCCCTCTGGGACAGTGGCTTCAAGGCTCAGGGCCTCCGCGGGTTCCTCCTCGTAGTCCGACAAGTAGGATTCCAGGCTGTGCCTGGCCAGCAGCTCTCGCCGGGCCTGCAGCCGCTCACACCGGGGACAGCGTCCAGACTTGAAGCAGGCCTTATGGTAGCACGCTTTGCACTCTGTTCAGAGGAAGAGGCAAGAGGGAGAGAAACAGTCCCTTCTCACTACCACAGCCAGCGCTGTGGTGCTGGGACACACGGAACTGAACTGTGGCTACCAGGGGCAGCTTGGGGAAAGCAGCTCACTTACGCTGTCTCGCTTGCCCTGATCTGTAAACCAGCACCCACCTTCACATATCCGGCACTTTTGCAGCTCGAAAGGGAAGATGATGTCTTCCTCCTTCTGACAGAACTCACAGATGAAGCCCTTGGCTTGGCAGAGCTGGGAGGAAGCAGACAGGCAGCCAATGAGGAGCAGACGGGCCATGCAAAGAAACCCTCGAACATCAGGGGGTCCTAGTGACTCCAGGGACAAGGCTGGCCTGAACTCGGTGTGGGCCAGATGAGGTGGCAGCATCAGACAGGGCAGGCTGTAAGTAGGGATAAGAGAGCACAGGCTTGGGAAGCGCCTGCTGCAGGGCAGCTATCAGTGAGGATGGGGAAAGGAGAAAGGGATGGTGCCACAGAGTTCTGAGTGAGTCTGAGTAATGGTTTTATTTTGGTACATACATCACTGCTAATTAAAATGACATGGAAAACTAGGCTGTTCTCTCAAGTTAATGCCAGCCTCGAGTCAGGCTAGTGAGAAATGTGTCCAACACACAGTTCTACCTGTGCCTCCTCTAGAACTTGAATTCTGGGCCCATCTGCCACAGGAACACAAAGTGCACAGAGGCTGAGAGAGAGAGATTTAAAAATAGAAAGCTGAGGCAGGACTGTCACGAGTTTGAGGGTAGCCTGGGCTACATAATGAGCTCAAGGTCAGCCTGAACTACATACATAAAAAATAAAAATGAAGTTTCTGCAGTTCTGGCATGTTCAGTATACCACAAACAATAACTATCCTTGTAGATTACTTAAAAGTTTACCAAAGGCTGTCCCTGAAGCTATGTCCTCAGGGCTCAAAACTACTGAGAGGAAAGGATAGTGTGGACAATATTTACATTTTGCAGACTAGGAAATTGAGGTTTAACTAGGGCAAATTATCTGCTTTGGTTACAGTGACTGAAATACAGACATACAGCCAAGATTCTATGCTGGGGCTCCCTCCTCATACGAGACAGTTCTTCAGTGGGGCGACGCCAGCACCAGTTCCTCCTCTAACCCTTTAGAGTGGATGACTGCACTGCCCCCCTGCCCCCAGGAATGATGAGCCTGTCCCATCTCATTGGGAGTGCTGGCCAGCCCTCTGGCCTCCTGAGCAGAACAGTGAGGTCCCAAGTCCACCCCGCTCCCCAGCCCTAGGCGAGGGCCGTGCTTGCATCTCAGCGAGGCCTCACCATGCAGCGCTCCACGTGGGCAGCCCCTGCCTGTGTGAGCTCAGTCAGCCGCGGCCCCAGCTCCCCCTTCTTGGTGGCAGTCAGGTCATTCAGAGAGTACAAGTGGAGGTCCTCGGTCAGGTGACCTGGCACTGTGTCAAAGGAGTCCAGAAGCCTGCAGGTGAGGAGCAGCGGGCGGGGAATGGAATGAACATTTTGTCTGGAACACTGCAGTAAAAAAGCCCTATTTGGCTGCAAGAGAGAGAAGTTATGAGGCAGGTGACGTTTACTAGCCCAAGTGTGATGGTCACCCTAGCCTTCGCACACCGACACACATCTGGATGGCAGAAGTGACTTTATTTATAATCCCGTACAGAGTAATCCATGTCACCTTACACAGTGTAGAAGACTGCCCTGAACAGACTACCACAGATTTTCCCTCCACAGAGGGCAGCAGGAGTTACTGCTGTGGCTTCTCGTTTCCTATTTCTGGACATTTCTACAAACCCCTCCCCAACCTCCTTCTATGTCCCAGTGACACCACCCGTAGGGGTCCTGCCCTCCACATGGACTTACTCCTTGGCCAGCCGGCAGGTCTTGAACATGTTCTTCATGTGATACAGCTGCACCCGCAGCAGCTGGAGAGAAGACATTAGGGCAGGTGGGAGAGGGACCCGTGTGTTAGAAAGGCCAGTCAGCCCATGTTTCCTGCCTGTTCTCTATTTGGTACTACGCTCATTGAAGGGGCAATGCTGCTTGTGCCATCAAATGCTAGCTATTGCTTCAGACCTGCTCTCCTGAGTTTGGAGCTCTGACAACACAGACATCTAGGAAACGGGAAGAGGTCAGGAGAGTTCAAAGTGGGGGTATAGCCTGGTGGTGGAGGACTTGCCTGGCATGTGTGAGGCCCTGGGGTGCCTCCTCAACACCACACAAGAAAACGGAGAATAAAAAGGTAAGTAAACAGCAGGACGGTGACAAGGCCTGGCACTGGTGGAACCTGAGAGAGGACAACAGAGGGAGTGGTGGGCCCTGTCCAGGCCTTACCCGCACTTGGTTGAGCAGCTTGACCTTCCGGTAGAGGGCGCTGTTGATGTCCTGCACATTGAAGAGAGGGTCGTTCCAGATCTTGAGGAGCAGGTCCTTAGAGAAATTGCTGACATAATACTTGCTAAAGTCCCACTTGCGCAGGACCCGGCTGGGAATGACCATCTGGGCGTTTTCGTGGCAGCATTGACAGAAGTACTTGCCTAGGTACTCACAGTACCGCAGCCGCTTGATATAATCTGGAAGAACCAGGGCAGACATGACTGGCCCATCCATGTGCATATGCATGAGGCGGTTCTGCTGCTGCTCCAGGGCAGAAGGGGACAGCCTGTGTCCTATAGCCACCTTCTGTCTAAGCTCCCTGGAGCCAGCAGAAACCCACACAATGGATCCTGTGGATCCTACATCCTGGAGGCCCTGGAGGAAACAAGGCTGCCAGTGTTGGTGCCCTACTGTCCCAACCACCTGCCCTTTCTCCAGAGACAGCTCCCCTCTGTGGGCCATCATTCTTGCTAGTCCTCCTCCCCACTGGCACCCACTTTCCTTCTCTCCAGTTCTGCCCCTGACAGCCCCCTTTTCCCAGATGGGGAGTAGGCAAAGCCCTTGCTGTACAGAACACAGGAGCCAGGCCAGCCTCACCAGGGTCGGTCCGGATGCCACATCCTGCGCAGCGGTAATTCTGCTTGGCCACAGCAATCTTCCTCCTAGGGAAAGGTGCAGGAGAGGGTTGGCAGGCTGTGCTACAGGAGGCCGCCAGCTACAAAGGAGGAGGGGGTGATTCCAGGAAGAGAGAATTCACCTGAAGCTTTGGACAGAGCTGAGGGTTGGAAGGTTAGGGTTTAGGTCTTGGCAGTGGCTCTCCCCAAGAATGAGCCAAATTTTCTGTACCACACAAACATGAAAGAGCAAGGAGGGAGAAATGCATCCAACCATCTTAAAAGGAAAGAAAAACCAATAGGCTCATACACTAGCGGGACAGGGGATGGGAGCAAACAGCGTGATGACCACTTATTCTGCAGAGGAACAGGAAGATGGAGAATAATGCGGGAACAGGGGTGGGAGCAGAGACAGGAGGGGAGGGTGCCCGTTCTGCCCAGCAGAGCTGTTCCTCTTTCCGGAAGAGCACAGCGGGTACTCACGTCGGGGCTGGATGTACATTAAAAATGATCTGCGGCCGGGGAGGGGCCCACTCCAGGTTGCCACGCACACGGATCCGTAGCTTGTAGATGTCTGCGTGCTGCCCGTCGTCTGGCGAGATGGGCAGGGAGTCGGGGATGGGCAGGAGCTGCAGGGTAGAACGTGGGGTGTGGGAGAGGGTGGCCAGTGAGCACCTGCCTGATTCATAGGCTACGGTGGAAGCAGGACTGGTGAAAGACTGCAGGCACACTGCAGGCCAAGGACTGCAAGGAACGCTGGCCTCCAAACACACTAGAAGGCGCTGGGAACTAAAAGTGAGGGCCCTAGACGCAGCACTTGGGGTGTGGCAAAGGGCCTCAGGCTTTCAAGACTTGTGCAGTGTATCAGAAGTTGGCCACAAAACAGAAGGTCCAGCTTGAGCTACAGCTCAAGCTCCATGAGCAGTCATGTGGCCTAAGGACAGCGAAGACTCCAAAACATTAAATAAGCATCCATCTATCCATCCATCCATCCATCCATCCATCCATCCATCCATCCATCCATCTATCCATCCATCCACCCACCCACCCACCCAGCCAGCCAATACACGTGTAGAAAATGGTTTTCACATACAAGGGAGGGAATAGGAGAGCAAAGGACAGCTGGGCTCTGCACCTACCTTCTGAGGGGCATCGTGCTCTGGGACCAGCCACTCCAGCTCTGAGGCTGCAGGAAGCTGCATGCCCTCAAACTGTTTCAGAAGCCCCATGGCCACCGCCTCAGCCGACGTGGAGTGCAGGCAGCAGTGGGATCTGGCAAGGGCAGAGGGCAGGGAAGCTGAGCATAGGGCAAAGACAGATGCCCGGGGCCTCCCTAGGACTATCCTCAGGAGCTGCCCCGCTCCTCGCTCATCCTCAGCTGCCTGCAGTGGAAATGTGCTGCTCTTCACAGCCTAGGGTCGGGCTCACATCTCACTGGCACTGCAGGAAGTAACTTCCTTTCTCTGAACTTCTTTCAAAAATAAAGTGAGGAGAGCTCCTTTGTGGGCTTCAAAGGGTCATCACCCTTCCCACGTGGAGTTGGGTCTACAGTCAGTTTGATTTGATGAACAAAATTCACAATCACCACTCTTCCCCCTGAGCCTGGATCTTCTGGGACTACAGGCAGGCAGCAGAGGAAACATAAGATGTGCTGTGCCTCTGGCGTCCTGAAGGTCCACCCTTCTGAGACCAAAGGTTTCCCCTTCATTCTTTCTTCCCATCACTTGACCCTGCCCCCTCTTGAATCAAAATGGCTTTACCTATGGCTCTTCTCACCATATGCCAAGAACTAAGTTTGTTCCTCCCAAGGCTACTAAAACAAAACAAAACACAAATCAAACCTACTCACAAGGACTGGGAGGAAATGAAGGGTTTGCTGTTCGAGGCCATGCTCCTTCTGACATTGGCATCTAAATGGAAACCAGAAATAAGGCGAACAGGAAGTTGAGAGTGAGGAAGGGGAGGTAACCAAACCACCAAGGGGCGCAGCCTGCTAAGTGCTTGAGGGGGCAGCTCCCCACTCTGTCTTGGGCGGGGCTCAGGGAGCGACGAGCTCTCTTTAGTCATTTGGCTCTTCAGTCACAGGCAGGTGGAGTGGGCGAGGGGGCACAGGGACTGGGAAGGCCAAAGAGGGCCCAAGGCCAGGTGGGAGTTCAAACTCAAGAGTGGCACATAAGGACCCAACCCCTAGCAAGCACAAATACAAAAGAATGATTCAAACCTGTCCTTTCATATCTAATTTCAACCTTAAGTGGACAGAGGCCAGAACTCTATCAAGTGAAAAGACTTTTTCCCTTTGTTAATCCCACACTCTCCTGAACTCTCTGTGTAAGCTCTGCACATGAGCCACACACTCATGACAGCACCCACCCTTGGCCATGAGTAGCCCCATTTGTCACGTTTCCACTGTATGTGGGATTTTTTTGTCTGTACAGCTAGATTATAACATTCCCTTGTGAGGAAATGAGGGTGTGTCTAATTTTTCTTGGTCTTAAAATTTTTCTTCATCTTAAAATATTTAACACAGTGGCTGGGGATTTAGCTCAGTGGTGCAGCACCTGCCTGGCAAGCATGAGGTGTTGAGTTCAACTGCTTGCACCCAAAATAAAACAAAATTAAGATAAAATACTTCATATACAGTTCTGTATATAAGCATATACTCAAATAACATTGCTGACACACTAATGACTTCAGAGGTGTATACCCAGCAGGTTAACAGAATTGAGATTTGTTCATTAGATTTCATTCACCATTTTTTTTTTTTTTTTTTTTTTTTGGTACCAGGGATTGAACTCATGACCCTGTGCTTGACAGGCAGATGCTTATGCCACAGAGCTATCTCAGCCCTTTC